AGTTTAGACCAAAATAAACATCCCGATATTGATACACATCATGCTTAACCTAGTCGAACTGTATCTTGGTCAAAAGAAAGTTTTATTAAGCAAAAAAGGGGATTAGAATATAGAATGTATAAAGTAGCATATATGCATAGTGATGATATTTAAAGAACCAATATCATCATAACACAAAGTTATTAGGTCCTTAATTGTAAAAGTTTTCAAAATTTGGGCCTTGATATGTAATTATTTTCACTTTGGGCCCTTATTTGTAATTATTTTTATTATCCAGACCCTTATATGTAAATTCTTTATTTAATATATAGATTAAAAAAAATATAATATATAACTTATATATTGAACTGCAAAATGAAAAATATATTTGCACATTATCAGTTATAACACAAAAACAAAAAACATTGAATGTTAGTGAAATACTGAGGCCTATCGAGCCCTATAAGAAAAAAAAAAATTAGGCTGATAATTAAAGAAAAAGAATTTTAAAAGATATTAACTGACCAGAAAGACAGTTAAAATCGTAATTAGTGGCATAAAGAAGAGGCGGTTAATTGAAGTGATTGAAAGTGCTGTAAATATTTTAAAAGCAATTTCGTGAAACATTAAAAAACAAAGAATTAGTACAGATCTTTACTTGGAATCAAAAGAAAAAAAATGAACAGTAATGTAAGCTAATAGCTACCAATAGGTATTTACTACTAATATCTAATAATAAGTACTGTTAGATCAATAATATGCCAAGACAGACTAGTAGCTACCAATATGTTAGTTTTTAAAATGTTGTAAACTTATTATTAGATACCAATCATGTGTCTAGCATCTACCGGTAGCTACTTTCTGGCCTATTTGAAAAAACTCACATCATTAATCATGAAGATAAAATGTCACAAACATTTTTGCCACAAAACTTACATTCTCTTATCAATATTATAAGATGTATAATAGCTCTACATAAATGCCCAGAGCCTTAATATCCAGATCGACAAAGAATTAAGTGTTCACTATGCATAATGTTAAATGAATATAAATTAATATAAGTGATAAATTGTTATAACTTAATAAATAAACTTATCTCATGGCCAACCCTACCTATGTAACATTTTTCAAGTACTTATTTCTACTAGACATCTATTTAATTTTGGTAATTAAGTATTATCCTATTTAATCTTAAATGTCAAAAACAATGTGTAAAATAAAGGCTTCACTCTAAAATAAATACATGAAAGTTATGTTACAAGACGGCAGGAAATAAACCGGTTATATCCTGTGTGATTGGATATAAGTGAAATTTTGCAATAAAGTATAACTGGCCGCTTACGCGAGCAATTATACTTATTGCAAAATTTTGCTTATACCCAACTGCCCAGGATAAAACTATTACAAACAACATTAAATAATAGAAAAATGTCATTACTCATTATTTGAATTAATTTTTAATAATTATTTAAGTTTACAAGAGATTCTTCTAATTTTCATTATGTAGAAAATTCTATACAGTATCTTAATGAATTGCATTGTTTGGCACAATTTCTAGCAATCTATTTAGATTAATAAGTACTTCTTTATATTGCCCATGATAAAATAAGCTTTTTCTTAAAAGATTAATTCATTGCTATTCATAAAAGATGTAATATATTATTATTAAATAGTTTTAAAATGCATAATAAAATTGTTTAGTGCTAAATGAATTTATCTAAATAATCGAATTTTTTGTTACCCAAAGCCTATTTCTAAAAATCTGTCTTACTACATTTCAACATATGCATAATAATAATTCTTTTAAATCGTCAATAGATAGCATGCAATTTCTGAAATTTATTACAAAAATAACCTGATTATACTTTAAAAAATTACTAGAATTTATTTTTAATGTTATAATTACCTTAAAGTATCTGTTTTTGATATATAAAATATCCAAAATTTAGATAATATCTAAGGTTAACAGTAACTTAATTTCATATATAATGATAAGGTAAAAATCTTTAATTGTCTAATCTATATATTATATAATTAACATAGATATGGGCTAGGTGCTGAGAAAAGGGACGAAATTGACAATTTTTTCAAAAGCTGTTTTTTACATAAATCAATTTAAAATAAGATTCTGATCATTTTTTACTTAAGACTCAAAAGTAGTTATATTAATAAAATTTTGTAATATAGCTTCTTAAAATTTGCATTTTCTTATGATTTATTATAAAATTTATAACATAAAAATTTTTTTGTTAATTTCGTACTTTTCTCAGCACCTAGCCTATATATATATATATTTGTATAATCTCAATAAGTCTAGATCTGCTTGGATTCAAAAAAATAAAAAAATAATACAACACTTGCTATCTATATAGTGAATGATTTAATTATGTAACATTTGTTTGTACAATATACCAAAATTATATATAGATCGCTAAAAAATACAGTTGTTTATTAGATATTCATTCATTTTACTAAATCTTAGAACTACATGAACTGTTTTATCTATACTTTCTACCGGTATACAACTATAATGATCAATTAATTTTACTCTTAAATATCTCTATCATTCTTCTTCTTCAAATGTATTATACCAATGAACTAGAATAAGGTTAATCGGTTCCTTTCTGATTCTGTAGTACTTGAAAAGTAATAAAGCTTTATTTTAAATCAATTTTAATTAATTAGATAGGTTTGTCTTATTTAATATACCAGTATAATATACATTAAAATTTATTATTACCTGACCATACCAAATTATTTCATGTTCTCCTTCTTTACTACTTACTGACATGTTTGAAAACATTGGTTCTTTATAGAAACTTTTTGTAACACGTATAATGTCTGTGCTTTCGACGAAAACAGAAGAGTATAGTTCAATTATATTATTGCTTGAAAAAGTTAATCTATTCCCAAAATATTCTCTACAAAATTCATCAAGGCCACTTATTAATAAATTGAGTCCATCAATTTGAAGATGATGTAATTCCCCGCTATTATTTTTAATAAAGTCATCGATGCCTAATAAGTTAAATTTTCATAAGAGGTTTTTATATCCTTTTGTTTTTTGATATTTACTGATTGTTTTCTTTTCCAATAATTTTTGTCATTTAATCTAATTATGTGATTATTGTTAACTCTTGAGGATAAGTGACTAAAACTGATTTAATTTAGTAAATAATTACCATTTTAACAATCTGTTTCACAAAATTTTTTTTATTAGTCATACGATAAGGATTCTTTACATAATATTTATGCAAAGTTTTATAAGTTTCAGTTGAACAACTATTTATTGAGCCATATTCCTTTATTGCAGGTATTACATGATAGCACCATGTATGGAGTTTTGGTAGTCACATATTATTTTGGGAATAAAGAGTGAAAATATCGACAAAATCTTCTACCTAATCGATGATGAGATCCTAAGTAAAAAATGATAAAAAGTGTTAAAAATATATGAAAATATATAAGCTTTAATGTTTACCATACCTGAAGTTTGGAACAAGATTCATTTGTAAAGGAGTCTTCACAAGTAGCTAGGTACATTTTGAGAAACTTGTAAAATACTTCACACAAACATTTATTACTAATGCCTATCTTTTTTTTTTATGCATGCTATAAAGGTTATCAAGAACAAAAATAATAACCTTCATGATATTTCGCAAGTCATCAGCAGTCATACATTTAATATTACATCTATGTTTCATTATTTTGAGTCCATGAAATCTAGGAATCTTCACAAAGTGTTGTTCAAAGGCTTGAACAGTCTTGTTTCCACATTGCTCAGTTAAAAGTTGTCTTGTAAAAATTAGCATATATTTAAACAAACCAAGATCTAATACATGCATTCGATCTGGCACTGTTGCTTGATAAATATTAAAATCTCTAATTAATTAGAATATTATTAGTTATATACTTTGTAAAAATAATATTAAAATTTTTTATTTATATCTTATTCATTAGAATATATTTTGTTCATTATGAATTAAATTTTCTTTAGCCTGTTTTGCCTCGATTGCCTGTCTTATCTTCTGATGATTTCTTAGCAAAATTTCATTTGGATTTAGATTTATATTATTCAGATCATCTTTCAGCACTAGACAAGTATTACATGGTTTTTGTGCTAAATATGACTAATAAATGTTTATAATCATATTAGCCTCAAGCATATCTGCTAAGATTACCAAAATTTGTGGAATAAATGTGATTATATTTTGTCAAACTACAAAGTGAAGTTCTGGTTCATCAATTATAAGATTTAAAAGAATCGATAGGCATCACTGAAAAACAAGCCTTTGTACTTCTTTAAAACTGTCAGATTTTTTTGAATTTTTGGTTTTTAATATTGGTAAATATCCAATTAATGCTTTTGATTCTGGCTTATTTCTCTGAAAGTTTGGAATATTACCAAGAGATAGGAATATTAGGTGTTCAGAAGATTTTCCCATATGATCTAAGGTCGTAGTATCAGAATAGAGAATTATCAAAAGTAGATGTTAATCTACAAGTAGTTTTAATTCTTCTTACTTCTACTAATCACAATTATATTGTTCTTCAAATATTTGATATTCTATGCCATTTTTTATTTTACTACTTTCTACATATTTTAATACCAAATCTCAATTAATACTATCAACTACTAATAATGATTTAATAGCCTAAATTATTAACTGATAATAGAGTGTATATTTGACATCTTGAAAGGTTGTGATTGAAATTTCCTTAAATGTTGTATATTGAATATTTGTATTATTCAAAAATTCTTTCTTAGCATGTATTGATGAAGGCAAAGGTGATTTTTTCAAATTAGAAAATTTATTAAAAAAGTGTATAAAAGTATTAGAAGCTCTATCCAAAAGCTAATATTTAGTAGTAATCTCCATAAATTCTTGATAAGCATCATTAGGCCATTATACTTTTTCCAAATCATGCAAATCATGGTAAGCATCTTCAAATGACACTTCCTTAGAGTCTTCATCATTATTTGGCACATCCTCAAATTTTAATTCACTACTTTCAATAGGCTAAGAATAAGATGAAAGAAAAGATGCGTCTTCAGAATAATCCAATTGATTCAAAGAAAGTTCAGGGTCGAAAAGATCTGGTTCTATTGTTTGCGACATTTCTTGGCTCTAAATTTAAAACCATAATTAAACATTGCTGTATTTCTGTTAACATTTCATATTATCATATCATCGTGAAATAACGTTCCAGAGCATTATTTCGAGACATGTTGCTTGAAAAGAGTTAATAATTTAACCAAATATGAACTATAATTTTTTGTTAATTATTAGCTTTCTTCAAGCAATTTGTCTCGAAATAATGCTCTGGGGCATTATTTCACAATGATACAGTAAAAATTTTGATTATTTACTCATAGACTATCATTAGGAACTTTTGGCATATTCCAAATTGTATCATCATTAGGATCTTCTGGTATATTCCAAATGGTATCATCATTAGGAACTTTTGGCATATTCCAAATATTATCATCAAGAACATATGATTGGCAAGAAGTTGATTTTAACGTGGATGTATTTTCGAACATTCTAGGATGTTTTTGAGATATGTGTTGTGACAAAGCATAAGGTTTAGAAAATTCTTTTTTACAAAGATAGTATCGCCAGCACATATTGAATATATTTTGTATAAAAAAAAAAGGCAATTTAATAAAACGCTTAAGGTTTTCTAATATAAATTAGTTGTAAGTTTTTGTTTGCTTTGCTAATTTTTTCTTACCATTATCAAGTATCTAATATAAAACACTATATCTAAAATAAAATGTATTACAGATGATTAAACATTTTAAAATTTTATATATTAGTTATTTAATAAACTTTCCATAGAAATTTTAGTGCTTTATGAGAAGAAATAATATATTAAAGGTTATCATAAGAACATAATGCCTAAAAATAAGTTAGAAGTGATTACTTTTTATATATATATTAGTTTTCACAATGATTTAATTCTATTGTGAGAACACAAGAGCATAAAGCTAAGAGTATGCTTTCAAGATGAGCTTTAATTCTAACAGAAAATAATATATGTTGTGAAATATTGTAACTCTAAAAGCAAACTAAAATTGATTGCTTTCCTTATAGACTTTAGTTCTCACAGAAAACAAAAATTATGAGTTATTGTGAACATAAAGCTTAAAAATAGGTTAAAAATTAATTAATTTTCATGTAAACTTTAGTTTTGTGAGTATTGCGAGGGCCAAACTCCAAAATTAGTTTATTGCTTTCCATATGAACTTAATTCTCATAGAGAACCAAAATATTTTACAGATTGTAAATTCGAAAAATAGGTTATAACTATTTGCCTTTTATATGAACCTTAGTTCCTGCAGATACAAGTCATAATAAAGGCAATGCTAAATAATTAGCTCTATGTAATCATAATATTATTTATGAAATTTAATATTGACATTACCAATCCGGTTGAATCGGTTTTGTGTTCCAAACTCTAATAACAGTACTATATTCATTATTGCTAAATATGTGTTATCATTGTTTTCCTTATAAACAAATAAGTGAGTGATCATTAAACCTATATCTGACTAGATTTTCGATACCAAATAGGCAGTATTGTGTTAAACCAACAGTTGCATAAAATATCTTAATAGATTTTAATTGAAGATGTCTGTGAAATAAAATTAGGGTGATGAAATAATTAATTTCTTAATTCTAACTACATAGTAGAGGTCATATAATAATGATAATAACAAGTAATTTATTTTCAATATTAGATATTATACAAATACTTTAATCACACAAGTGAAACAAATGGCATTTATTTATTTATATTTGGACTTTGTTCAAAATAAGCTTGGGGTCGATCTCAAAATAATTAGTATGATTATTGAACTTTATAGATCTTATGAATCCTATATTTTACCATCAGAAGACAATGGCAATACGTATATGGGTTTCTTAGGATTCCCAAAATTCTATAATTGCATTATTAGAACTTATATATATATGCATCTGTACTATTTTTATCTTTACACAATCTTTCATCATCAAAACCACTTGTTTCTTATTTCTGTTTTTTTAAAAACCTGAATTTAGTATCTGATTTTTAATTAATAAAGGCTCCTTTGAAAAATGAGTAGTCAAAGTGATAATAAGTAATTGTTTTAAATGATTACAGTATGTATTTAATTTGCATTTATAATCACAATGGTATACTGTATATCCTGTTCAGATTTCTCCAAACAAAGAGAAGATGCTAGTAATTCTAGTAATTACTCTTCACAAGAGTATAGCAGTAATTTTCATAAAAAATATAGTAAAAAGCATAAATCTTGCCTTAAGTCTTATTCTTTCAAGCAACATCATAGTAGATCTCATTCCAGTTCCTTCCGACAAGCTAGTAGTTCTAGCAATTATTCCTTACCAGAAAAGTATGATAATAGTTCCCATAAAGGAAAGCAGCATGGATCTTCATTCTTAAAAAAAAGTAGTAACAAGCGTCATAAGTCTTCCTTCTACCAACAAAGAAATAGTAGATCCTATATACAAAGCCCAATTAGTTCTCCAAAATTACAGCAAACCAAAATATCCCAAGTGTCCCAAATTAAGACATTCTAAAGTAGGACCAATTATTATAATTCAACTACACTGTCATTTGAAGGTATTAATCATACCGGCCAAAATTGAAAATTTCAATATATTAAAATGGCATAATTCAAATACATACAACCTGTATTCGACTTGCAATTTGATAAGTCGAATACAGATTGTACATATTCAAATTATGTCATTTTAACATATAACTGTCCTAGCATTACCAATCTAAAAAGATTTTGCTACCAGCATTAGTGTTAGAGTTTGGGTTAATTTTGTTTTAATTTTATGCTACACCTAATCTTAATTTTAATTTGACAAGATAGCGAAATTTTTTAGATTGGTAATACTAGGACAGTTTCAACATATTGAATTTTCAATTTTGACCAGTATTACTAAGTATTGTTAAATGTTTCTATAGTAATATTAATTAAAAAATTTTTTAGAATGTCATCGTCAAATTGATGAACAACTATTTAATCAAAACAGACAAATATATCTGCTACTATTAAAGCATAATGATGATCTAAATGAAATTAAAAATAACCTCAAACAACAAAGAGGTGAGCAATAAAATGAGTTATTACCTCGGTTGTTAGACATAAGTATTTTTTTCAGGTATTTAAAAATAGAAACATGCTGTATATCAAGCTTATATCGATTTAATTTTTAATAATTTATTTTTGAAAGAGTTATAAAACATCTTTTTCCAAAAACTCTTTATCCAATACAAGATATTTTAAAAGCTACATTAAAAACATACTTGGAAGAAAAATATAATGATTTTTTGGCTAACCTTAGCTCTAATTAATTCATAACCATTTTTATAGTGAATGGTTTAGTCCAGTATATATTTATTATTAAAAAGTATTATCACTAATTGTATATAGTATTATAACAAAAATAAATATGATACTTCTCAATTACGTGATAAAAAAAATAGAAATCTTTCAACTCCTTTATAGAGCTTACACTGCACTATAAATTTATCAGATGGTTTGCCAAAAAGCTTTTGCTTAAAAAGTTCTAATAAAATTGAATAATTACATGATTCTTGAGTATACAGTATAACCTTGATATAATGAAGCTTTGAAGCTGAAGGTTTTGCTTTGTTATATCAAAACTTATTAGTAGTTTCATTATATCAAGGCTAATTTAAACATAAAAAATTAGAAATAATCTTTGTTATCATTATATCGAGGTTCGTTATATTGAGGTTATACTGTAGATTAGATTTTAATTTAGTAAATTTTTTTGTTGCAAAATTGAGATATATACTAAAATTTCTTATTTAATCAATAGCTATTATTAAAAATGAAAAATATCAGAAGCATAGTACTATCTAACATTAGAAAGGTACCATTTCGTGTATTTGGTATGGAAAAGTTGCCACCACTAAAAAATAATCCTTCTACTACTGATATTGTCACATGGAAAGCTAATCTGAAGGTATCCAAGTGCTTCAATTCCTTTTTTCAACAGAATGATAATAGAATATACTGGGTTATTGTAATTGCATGATGTGCATTTAATGAAATATCAGTTCCTAATCTTACAAATGCACACTATGCATTTACTCTTGCAGTCTGTGACATTTTTCTTAACCCTGCTTCAAAAGGAATTGCATGTTTTGAAATCAGAATGAAACCAAGAATGGAAAAATATATTGTAAGTAGAGATTGAAGAAATTACTTTACTAGCAGTCATTTTATTAACAAGTCATTTAACTGACATCACTTAGAGTAGCAATTTAGCATTTAACTTATTTTTAATTTGTAAATTGTTATATCACGTAATGTAATGTCAGTTAGAAACTACTCCAGTATTACCGTCAAATTTTCACTTTTACGTAATGATCATCCAATAGCGAGTTTTGTTTTAATGTAATGTTATATGATTAGAAAGATCAAAACAAAATGTTTGCTTTTTAAAAATCGCTTATTTCTTAAAAACTTGCATAAGAAATCACCTTTGGTGCTCTAACAAAAAAAATTCCTCGAGTGATTTTACTATTACCTACCTAAAACCTAGCCATATTATAAATGCTAACTCTAACTTAAACAAATTTAAAGATTTTAAATGCTGTCATATGAAAGTGAAAATTTTGACAGTAATACTGACCTGTAGAGATGTACCTTACAAGATGATGATATCATCTTTGTGCAAATTGTATTATATGGCCTCATATCACATAAAGTGAATTTTTAATTAAGAAAATCTTAGCAATTGGTTATAAAAATCTATAGTTTGCTAAACTCCATCTTCCCTAGCATCACTACCAAAATTTTTTTGATATATAATATCTACAAAATTCTTTAGAATTCGTTTATGTTAGGGTTTAAAATTAGAAAAGAGCTAGCTTATAGTAAAATTGTCCAAGGAATTTTTTTTATTAGAGCATGAAAAGTGGTTTCTTAAGCAAGTTTTTGAGTTAAAAGATTTCTTGAAAACAAACATTTGTTTTGGATTTTTCTCATTATACAAGCTCATGATTTGTTATTGGATAACTTCCGAACACCTACCAGTCATATGATTTTTACTTTAGAGTAGATACAGTACATAATCATATTACAGGTTTTAGATTTATAATAGGTAGAGTACAAAAATTACCTGAATTAGTAGGTGCCTATGTGAACTAACTTTCCCAAAATTTTATTAGTATTTTGGTAGTAATCCTGGGGAAGTTGAACTCCATCTCACACTTCACGTGAAGCATATGATTTGTGAGATGTATGCTAGTTTTACATAACGCAAGCTACATCTCTAATTGTACTTATGATAATTTTTAGCAAGACTTTGAAAAAGATGGTGCCCTATCTCAAGAATCTGTGGAAATTATTGCTGCAGTAGAATCTACAATTTCTGATGAAAATGAATATACAATAGTTGAAATTACAAGTGAAACCCAAGAACAAACAACTACGCAAAATGCATTGAACTCAAGAGAAGTTAATGATGAGCTCTTTAGTGTTTAATTTGAATTAAACTTTTTGTAGATCTTTTTTTTTTTTTTTATAATTAGAATGATTTTTTTATACAACATGTTTTTTTATTCAAATTTGGCATTTGTGATAAAAATAGAATTATTGTAATACTTATATTAATATTAGTGTTAACATTAAACAAAATTTATTATTACACTAATTTGCTACAGAATCTAAATTTATAAGAAAAAATGCTATGCATAAGATTGCATTAAATTATAATATGCTAATGTATATTCAATTTTTGACCATGAATAAAGCATTTATCTAGATATACAACTCAATAAAAGTCTCAATTTTTATTAAAACCCAGAACCTCAATTTGCTATATACCAAACCCAAAGAGAATATTGGCACATGATTTAAACCATTATGTTAATTCTTATCATTATGTATAAATTGAACAACTACATAATTGTTAACAGTCATGCAAGCTGTATTTTCTAACATTTCACTTGCCAAACATTCATTAAATTTCCATAAAATTGAATTAGAAATGCTGATGAAATTAATTTTAGCAATAGTGGTGTACTGTATTTTGCCATGAAGAGTACCTACAATCTACTATTTTTTGGTGAAGTCACATAACTACGGCTACTCCAAATTAGGGTAACCCAGCCCACTCAAGCTACTTCAGCTACTTCAGCTACATAGGACACGAAGGCCATGTCAGGTAAGTATGCATTGGGAATGACATAGTATACGTAGCATACATAGTAGTTGTAGCATACATAGTAGTTGTAGTAGATGTAGAATAACAAATGTAAATAAAGAATTATAATATAAATAAAGGCTGTGAAGGCCCTAAGAAGAGAAAGAGAGATCAGACCTTCGCTTTATTAAAATAACAACTGGCCTCTTACATAGTAATAAATATATAAACATCTCTTCTACTACATTAACTAACCCTAAGTCCCCAGATCATAAAAATCCGATTCTTGTAATTGTTTGTTCTATCCTATAGCATTGTTACCATTCTGTCTGGCTGTTGTATCCTAAAGTACCAGGATCAGTCATAGTTGCATCATTTCATTATCTCAAAAGACTAAAGATAATGAGGTTATACATTGTGTCCAATTACCTGAAGTAGTAAGGTAATTGAAGATAAAGTTAGTAATGGACCTCAAACCATTGACCAAATCTAAATGCCTTTTTGTGACTAAGCCAACTGAATTGTAGAGTGACTGACTTGTCGTAAATTCTGATAACACTATACCAGTTTTTTTTGATTTATACAGGTATACTACAGTGAAAAAAAAGGAAGTATACTTTCCCAGAACTGAAACAAAAAACTACCTAGCTTGAAGGTGCTTTTGAACAATACCTAAAAAAAGAAAAGTATTAGTTAAATATGAGTGACGAAAAGGTAAAATCTGTAAATTATTTCACTCATTAAGTGAATAATTTACAGGTTTTTCCTTTTCATTACTCATATATTTATAGGCTAGAACAACCTATAAAATGAGTGATATGACCTAAAATATTCTCGAAGACCAGGACAAAAATTTCAATATTAGTCGAGATTTGAAAAAGAAAAAAAAGTAGTTAAACATGTTAATATACAAAATAACTACTGTAGTGCACTGACCAAAAACCCAGGTTCTAATACAAAATACTCAACAAAAAAAACTTACAAAGATCTGGATATATTATATAGAAGTGGGTCAGTATCATAGAAAAGAAAATTTCCAAATACATACATACTCCTCATTTACTATAAGCAGTCTAGAATTTAAAAAAAATCGCATTTAATTTATAGAGACCTTGTATTTCATACCAGGGTAATTTGTATGGAAGTATTGAAAAAAAGGCTTTTTGGTTAGCACATTATAGTATATACTTCTTAAACCTTTAAAAACTGGAATGAAACCTAAATCCAAAATTGAACAACTTAGAAAAAAGAAGAGAGTTAATTAACTGTGTTTAAATTTAGAAAAAAGAGATCATATCTTCTATAGTTTCTAAAAACTAAAACAAAATCTGAACCTAAAAAGGCCCTGAATGATCTAGGATAATAAAGAATAGAGTATTAATTAAATGCATTCAAATTAAGATTGATAAATAAAAAAAAAATTACTCTGCAATTTTTAAAAACCAGAATGAAAATCTTAAAAATATTTTTGAATCTAGAAAAAACAAAGCATTAGCGAAATATGTTTAGAATTCAGAACAAAAAGCAAAAAGACTATACTCTCCTTAAGTTTCTAAAACCAAAGCAAAAACTGAAGCTTAAAAGTACTCTTGAGCAATCTAGAAGAAAAAGAATCTTAGCATTAGTTTAATGTTAAAATTCAATACAAATAAAAACCTATATACTTCTAACTCAAGAAAAAAAACTATCTAGCAAAAAAATCACTGAACTAGTATAAATTTTTTTGAGTTTGGGTTTGTTACTTTTAATTGATTTTAATCTAGTTTTGATATTAATCAATTTTAAATCAAAATGATTCTAATTGATTTTAATTAATATTAATCGATTCTAATCTAAATCGCTTGTACTTAACAGAGGTGCTGCTTATCGATTGACATTCCTATCTGTTAATCGATTACCAACCTATTTAAAAATTTCCTAATGATAAAGTTACTAAGAATAAGACAAACAAAAAAATTAGAAATAAAACTAATTAAAAGACATGAATTAAATAGTACAATTACAAATTAGTTAGTAGTAATATTGATATGAAACAAGAAGAGAGACAAAAAGAAACACAGTTTCTATACTGATAAAGCATTATACAAGAAAAAAAAAGAAAACAATATGGAAAAAATAGGGATCAGTTGGGTACAAGTAGGAAAGGAAAAAGATTAGCCAAAGAAGAAAACTGTATTGGAACTAGAAAGTTGGCCTTTAGTAACAATAGCAGAATTAGCAGCAATATAGGCAGCAATCCTAACAGTATTAGAAGAAAAAAGCATAAAAGTATTTATAAACAGCATTGCAGTATTAAAGAACATTAATAGAGCACTTCAAAATATAGAAAAAGAAAGAACTCTGAAAAAGAAAAATGCAATGTAGATAATAAATATTGTAGGTTTTATTAAGAGCAAAAATATTAAAATAAAAATAATTAAAGTTAAAAGTTATAGTAAAAATAAGTGGAATGACAAAATAGACTCTCTTGCAAAAAAAGAAGCAAATTGTTGGAATATAATATATGCAGATAAAGTTAAATGTGATGAGATAGAATACTATTTAGAATAGAAAAATAAGAAAATTAATATATCAGCAAGACTTCTGTGTAAAATAATAGTAATGCCAGAATAGAAGTCAGTTGGTGAGAAACAAATCCAATATGAACATTAGAACCAGAACCAGAAAATACACTACATAATTGGTCAAGTTTTTGAAAAAAAATGAATAGAACAAAAGAAGTTCATTGTATATTAAGAAAACTTAGCACAAAAAGTGTTACAGAAATCAAGTGTATAATAAACAGCTTGTCAATACTTGAAAAGCTTAACAGAAAAAGACCAAAAGTATATATAACAGCAAAATGTCAAGTATGTCAAGTTGAAAAAAAAAAGACTTAGGCATATTTAGCAAGTTGTAGTAAACAAAAAAGTTTGTAAAAATGAATTCAAAAAGTTGCAACAGCAGTAGCATAAAATGAACTTAAGAAAGAGAAAAAAACAGAACTTCATCACAAATTCTATATAAGGCATTATTTGAAGAAACAGAAGCTAAACAAATCACAAACAGAAAAGTGCTAATAAAGGAACCTATAATGCTAAAAGTAGAAAAAAGACTTAAGCAACTCTTAAGCAAGCAGACAACACAGAAGTGCATAAATATAATTATAAGAATAGATAGAACACTTTCTACAACCAAGCATAGAAAATATGATATAAAAAAATACAACTTGAAAAAAGAAGATAAATATAATCAATAAAATGAAAAAAGGTGCTTGTGCAAGAAAAAAGAGAATAAAAAAAGATAAACAAGTAAAAAAAGAAAAAAAAGAAAAGAAAACAGAAAAGACAGAATAAATAAAAAAAAAAGCTTTGAAGACAATAAATACACTTGTCACAGAAGAAAAAAGATCATTCTGGTATGGCTTTAAGTAGTTAGATAAGCAGTTTATTTCTAACTAAGATAGTGTAACAGATTGCACTTAGGTACTATTAGGATAGCTAAGTGATGCTAGACTTAGATATTGAAAAATTTTATATAATTGTATATGTATATAGTTTCAAGAATCTTAATAAAGTACTAGTATAACTGCTTAAGGTTAAAAAAAAAAAATTTTACTTTTTTGTTTTTAAAGCAAACTGTAAAGAATTAAGCTTAAAGTATCTAATTGTACAGTATAATTAATTAAATTTATTTATAATAATTTGATTTTTTTTACATAACCTATTAGCAAAATTGCTAACAAATTAAATTTATATAATATTTTTAGTATATATTGACTAAAAATTAAAATAATTGCTATGCGGAAGACCAAGTTAATAACAGCCAGACCCAACATACAGGACAGGCTATGGTATCCTGCACAGCTGTGCAAGCCGAGCATATGGTGAGCAAATCTACAGAAGAAGCTTTTACTTCCTTGAACTCTATTTTATCATCTCATATCAAGGAAGAACTCCAAGACTCAGCTTACAATACACTATATGATCCAGACTCATGCTATAATGTGT